ATGGGCACTATTGGGTTGTGATAAGGCAGTTTAGTAAAGCAAAAAAGGGAAACAAAAGTTTTCTCATATGTAAGCAAAGGGAAAAATTCTTCTCTAATTCCATCAGTGAGGATGCTCTGGAGAGGAAACACTATAGAATAACAAATGCCCCCCGTTCCTTTTCCCTCCCTTAGCTTTTCTATTTGAGCTGATGTCATATAATATGTAATATCCCTTTGGGGTTGCTTTGGGTGAGCTGCTCCCCTTCCAGGACCTTGACCACTCCCAGGCCTTTCATGGGAGAGAAGGAATGCCACAGGGACAGCGCTGCTCAGCAATAACCAAAATGCAGGTGTGTTACCAACACTCTCCCAGCTCTCATAGCCTTTTTCACTTTCTGGTAACTCATATGGTGCTGCTTCTCAGGCACTGTTCCAAAATCTCTGCCTTCTGGCCAGTTCATGATCTCTTCTAGGACTCCCAGGAAATACAGTTTTCCCATTTGGGTGTGTTGTGTAATTAATGCTACCCACTTACTCCATCTAGCGCTGGTTATGTGATTTGTTGAGGGAATGTTTCCTTGGAACATCCAGTGTAGGACAGGCAATAGTGCTGCCAAAAGGAGATGCTTCTGTCCCAGCAACTCCTGAGGTGACTTGAACTTGCTAATTTCTCTCTTTCAGTGGGAGTATAGTGGCCTTCTGGTCCTTGATAACTCCAGCTCCAAAACCCTAATGGTTGACTTTGGGTTTCTCCTGAGGTCCTTTGCCAGAGGCTCCAGGTGAGCCCCTGCTCCCCAGCTTCAGTGTAGAGTGTATTTTGCACATCTCCCCATCTCCAGCAGACACTCTCATTCCAAACAAATTCATTAACTCACTGTCATTCACCAAAGAAAAATCACTCTGCAAGGTGGGAGCCAATTTTGGTGAAGCCAGGTCAGAACAAGGCATACATGGGGAAGGAACAAGGTGGAGAGGCTGCTGCTTCATTAACTCTAGCCAAACTCTGGAGGGCTGCTGTTTTGGGTGTCTGCTTGGAAAATCCAGCTGTCAGAGTCACAATGAGAGCAGCTCCATATCTGCTCCCTTGCAGGTCCTGGGAGAGGCCCAGCGGGCACCAGGCAGGACATGAAGGAAATCAGGCTGAGCTCTTGAGGGGCTTGCAGGAGAATAATTCTGACCTCTTGCTGAACTTGGTAACACCAATCCACATTGCCTCATGAAGTCCTTCCAGCACTGCAAACCCTTCATGGGGCACAGCATAAATGAATGGGCCAAGAGTAGGTGTTTCCCACTTGCTTTTGCTATGCAGCTGTTTTAAATCTACTTTCTCTATCCAAAGCAGCAGGTTTTTGGTTTGTTTTTTTTTGACAAACATATCCTGTAGCAGCTTGATGCCAGCAGTAATACTCTTTAATCTTTGCACACACTTCTGGAGCTGGATCCACAGTCTCAGATGTGCCAAACCCATTCCCATACCCTTTCAGTTCTGCCAGGCCTAAAATCCAGGAACCTAGAAAGGCTTGAAACACTTAGCAGCAATGAACCATCTGAAAAGCAGGAGTGGTTCTTCTCTCTTTCAGAAGATGGTGCTAAATTACATGGAGATTACAGGGCCAAGAACTCTGGAGGGAGGCAAGAAAGGATGTAGAACATCATCCTCCAGTGCTTTCCTTCCTCCCTCATCTGGTTTTCACTCCTTATCCCGCCTGGGCTTTGATGAACTTCTCTGAGAAGTCTCTGAGAAGTCCCATTTTCTCTCTCCAGCCTTGGAAGCTCTGCTTGCTTTCTCTCAAGTGATCAAATCCAGCCAGATTTCCTCCCCAGAGAATTCATTAGGTGACTCTAACCCATGTCAGTGGGATTACAGCTATCTTTGGCCCTGCTGTAGTTAGGAGACAGGGCTGCATGCCGTGTAGTGTGTCTAATTTAGATTTGCTTTGCATCCTGTGGCACAGAGCAGGGAATGGATCCCCTGGGAACCTGATGTGTAGAAAGCAACAAGTCCCCACTGGAGGCAGGGATGAATAAAACAGTCTTCCTTTTCCTCTTTGTGGGAAGTGCCACGGGGCAAACTCTTTGGTGCTTTATATTCTAACTAACTCTGAGTGTGGTCTCTTGCCTTGGTTTGCAGTTATGGCATGTGAGAGATGAGCTGACACCTCTAACCTGGCTACGAGGAGCCGGTTCAGCTGAGCTGCACCCAGAAGTCATGGAAGCAGGCAGCACTTCCCAGATAATCCCAATATGGCCTGCAGAGCACTTCTGTACCCAGGAGCAAAGAGGTGCTTTAATCATCTGCCAAGCATAATTGGCGTGTTTCTGTGAAGGGTAGACAAGGCAGAAGCAACACAGAGGGGATGTAAAGAAGTTGGGGTGGGCAGTGCTAAGGTGCGAATGGCACCAGATAATCACCAGTGAAGTAGGAAACAGGGAGCAGCAGAGGAGGATTTGCATGAGCTGCATATAGGGTACCTGTGCAAGTGACAGCTGTGCTGGCACTTTATTTCCCTCTGCGGATATTATGGGCTGCTATGTGCCAGCCTGAGGGCAGCACAGCCTTGCTTAAGACTTTTCCTGAGTGTTTGCTCTGGAAAGTCTTCAAGGGCTTAAGAAGTGCCAACAATTCACCTCTCCCACTGCATACCTGCCTCTGATTGCAAACCAGATAGGCTGTGACACCATACTGGCCAATTAAAGTTTCCATCCCCCTCCAGACACACGGTCCTGCATCCCACATGCCACTGATGTGCCCTCAAGCTTGGAAAGGCTTATCATCTGTGATGTCATCTGACCCAGCAGAGTTTCTTCCTCCGGCTGGGGACAGCGTTTCTTCTCGTAGTGGATGCAGCTGGCTTTAGCTGAGAGAGGCAAGACTAACCTCACAAAATCATCGACCTGCCAATTTGCAGGTCCTTTCCAAGCTGGGAGTGCACTGGACTGGCTGGCATTTGTGGTGTGAGTGCCAGAGGAGTGGGCATCCTTCAGTAAGGAGGGGGCTGTGACATTGTGCCCCAGGAGGAGAAATTTCAAATGGTTCATTTGCAGCTGTGAGGAGGGGAATGGGTAAAGTAGATCAAAATTCTTCTTACATATGGGGAGAAAGGCTTTCCTGCCTAGTGGTTTGTTTGGAGTTTTTTTTCCCCTTTAGGAAAAGATGAAATAGAGGTGTGGTGGAAGAAGGGTAGACTGATGAAATCGGCACACAGAAAGGAGGAAATATATTGTAAATGATAGTTGAAAATCAAAATTATCTGTGTGAAAGAGGAATTCAGGCATGTCCCTTTTAGACTGTTTTAGAAGAGGTTTGGGAGTGACTCAGATGGCAAGCACTGTTTTCAAAGCAGGGAGCTGTGTGTGGTTAACTCTTCAAACACAGTGGGCTTGATTTCCCCTTTCAGATTCAGCTGGAGCACTGTAATTGCTGGTAGCATCACTATTATTTGAAGCTGGTATCTGGGGCCTTGTGCTGGAACTGCTTTCCAAAACGCCCAGGCATCAAGACAGCAGTCAGAGATACCAGGGGAGTCATGACTTGATATTTCAAAGCAAGTAGGAGGTTTGGTTAGGGTATAAACTGTGAGGACAGGAATATTTGTTTAACTGCTTCTGCCAATGTTAACTGGAACGCTGTGACCTCTCAGCTCAAGATCAGATGCTGTGATGAATAAAAAATTAGATTTATTGTAGAATCTGAAACTCCTAGCAGAAACCTGAAGTTTTACTACACCCTAAACCACTGTCGCTGTTACTGAGGTCCAAAATCCTGTTTTTTCTGAATTCAAGACCTCTGGGGCATGTCTTTTAAGTTCTGGTATTTGCTTTAAGTGAAAGTCATACTTGTATTTCTTAATTTTCTATTTTGGCTGCATAATTTTGCCCTTAAACTTCATTATATGAGGTGAAACTCAGCTGTTGCTGGTAGAAAGTCAGTACTTGCAAACCACTGTATCAAGGGGGTACAAGCATTTGCCCTGAGAACCAGGATGTGACTGCAATGTCCCAGGAACTGCTGAGTTCTCTAGTGGCGATCCTGGTAGGAGCAAGGCTTTGCCTGCCAGCCTACTACTAGTCCACATGAAGATTTGTGATTCAGTTCCTGACTACTTCAGCTTAAAATGCTGCCTGCTCACACATCTAAAATGCAGAAGCAAATTTCAGTTCTCCCAAGGTCACGGCTGTGACAAAGTTTGTCAGGAAAGTGAGCTGGACCACCAAACATATTAATGAAAACAAATGAGTTTTTAGGAATAGAAATCTTTCTTTGAGTCTCATTTGTGAGTACAAGTGTCTCTTGCTACAGGGCTTCCTCCTGGATCCTGGGATTTCTACCTGCATTTTAGAGCCAAGCACAGGATTTGATGTTGTCCTAAAGCACAGCACAGGTTCTGAGTGCAGATATTCATCCCCATCCTGTAGAGCTCTGCCAGGCTGGCCTGGCCTGAAATGCCTTGAGCTCACGAGGCAAAATACGGCTCTTGTGGTTTTCCTTGCTGTGGCTGGGAGCTGGACACGTGGCATTTGCTGCAGAGACTTTTCCAAATTCTGTCTGCATTCTTGGAGGAAATGCAGAGCCACTCAGGATCAAAGGCAGGCACTGACTTCACTCTTGGTGGGAGCAGGCTGTCCCAGGCTGAACGGCCCCAGTGGGGCCATGGTGGCAGACCCTTCCCAATGCACATCTGCCTGTGGATGAGGAAGAGGAGGCATTTTCCAGGCATTGCAGCTGCAGTGCAAGAGCAGAGTGTCCTGCCTCAGGTAGCCAGGATGGGGAAAATCCACTTCTAATACTATTTGCTGTGTCTTTTTAGAGAGCTGTTTTTACACCCTCCCAGATGCCTGATTTTTCCAGCTCTCTCTACATATCTCTTTACCCTCTGGAGTCCTGTCTTCTCCCCCAGCATGAAATTAATCTGGGCATCTGTGCATGCCAAATCCAGGAGAGACCATGAACTGAAAAGCCTGTTTATGAGCCCCTTAGAATGGGAAAATTTTTATTGATGGAGAGGACCAAAAGCGAAAAGGAGTGGGTTTTTAGCATTTTGGGCAGCTATGAGACATGCCTTGAGGAAAAAACCAAATCCTATCCTTCACACCTGCCTGAAGACACAGGGAAGCTATTTCTCATGCACCGTTTTAGGTTTGTGAAGGCTACTGTAAAAACTGCTTAGGTCAAATCTTCTAGGACAACGAAAGGCCAGTTGTGGCCTCTATGGGATGAATGTGAGCAGCAAAAAGCAAAGCCTGGAGAACACCTTTACCTTGGGTGCCACACAGAATTTGTCAGTGAAGGAAACACCAAGTGACCACTCCAGGAAGACATGCTGGACAATGGGATTTTTTGGCATTCATCCTGCAAGGCCAGCCAAGGACAATGCTAGGCTTGCCTTCTGTATTTTTAAAGCTATATTCACTCTTTTGTGGTTTAGGTGTGCAGCAGCTGCATTTTCTGTTGGAATAAAGGTTTCTTCTAACTCTGGGCATGAAACCTGAGTGTCTCCTGAAAACTGAAATGTCTTTTAGGCTTGTTCTTTACCTAAAGCCTTGATTAAGATCCTCTCCTGACGAGTTTCAGCTAGGAACTTACAAAAAACAAACAAGTAAAACAAGGTGTTAGTAGTATTGCAGTTCACAAATAACTAAATTGGTCTTTAAGGAGAAATATACAGATATATTTTATTTTTATAAGTAGAAAAATTAAGTATAAAGTTCCTGTAGAACTACTCTTTGCCAGATCAAACATATCAATCATTTAATCATTTCCCATACTAGCAGAAATGCACACAGCATCTTTTGTTTGTAGGAAAATCACTTTTCAAAGGACATGAATTTTGACATTACACAGCTGAACAGCTGCTCATTTCTTTTTTCTCTAGTGCCTTGGCCACCACTGCTTTTCCAAGAACTCTTTTAGGGAAAGACAAGGGAGAGCTCAATTTAAATTAAAAACATTTAGGTTTTTTTGAGAGCCTTCCCCAGAGACCTACCAAAAGCACCACCCAGTAACAATATAGTGCGTAGTTCTCTTGCCTTGGGAAAGGAGCTCTCTTTAAAGCCCAACTAATTGGTTAGAAGGGATTATAGGATTAAAGAGCTCCTAAAGGCTAGAGACCCACTTCTACAAGACAGTAATTGTTTATTTCAAGGATAGTGATGCTGCAGCTTTCATGAGTCTCAGAGTTAGTACATCCAGAGATGCAGAGAAGGTGGAGCAGCTCCCCAGACACCCACTCAGGGAATCCACGAATGGTTTCGGTACAAGAAAATTCCCTATTAAGTTAATTAGTTTTACATATGAAAAATTCAGATTAAGAAGAGGACATTGCTTTGATGTTGTTCTGCAGGCAGTCACCACTCATGAAATGATCTTCACTTCAGGCTTGGACTCTTCCAAGGCTCTCAATTCATCATCCACTTCAGAACTCCACAAAATGTCATACAAACTACACCAAAAGAAAACAGCAAGTGAGATTTAGTGAGCATCCTCCTGTTAAGGGAAGAGAAAGATGCACAACTGGCCAGTATGGGAAGGTCATATGCCAGGAGGAGCCCCATCTACCTTTGAGAGCAGCCAAAAATTGGCTTTAAAGCCCAAGACCCCCTTACTCCCTCACCAGCACCAGCCTCTCACCCCTGCCAGGGCTACCACCATCTCTCACATTAACTGCTGCACGTTGCAGCTGGGCTTCCTCAAGGCTTCACAGATCTTCCTGATGCCTTCGTCTTCCAGAGGGTTGTAGCTCAGGTCCAGCTCGGTGAGGCACTGCTTGGTGACCATGGCAGTGGCAAGGGTGGCACAGCAGCCTGATGTCAGGTCACAGTTACCCAGCCTGCAGGGAGAGGAAGAGGCCAGCACAGTAAGCCCTGATCCAGGAAACACTGCCCACACCTGGGCAGCAGGTGCAGACATCATGGCACAGACCAGAGATCCTTGAGAAGATGGCATCTGCGAGACATCAGCAGGGGCTGGCCTGTGGTCTTGCCACAGAGACAAGACACAGAGCTGCCCTCATGCTGATTGCTGAACACCCCAAAGGCCTCCCTAAAGCTTAAGAGTATGTGGCTATGGGTTTAGAAGGAACCCATTGAAGTTATTCCCTATTTCATCATCATGCATCATCTTCTCTTATTACTATACTTGAGATTTGCAACCACCTCTCTAAATAGAGAGCAACTGAGGCCTCTCGGTTGATGACCAAGTAGCTTTAAGTGGTCAAAAGACATAATTTTCTGGGACAGACTTGCAATGACCCATCTGCTCCACTCACTCACTGTGAATTTAGGCATCAGAGCACAGCTTTGGGTACTGTCCAATGGCATGGAGAGAACAAGCATGGGGCCCTGAGCATCACAGAGCCCAGAGCTTGGCCCAGCTGGAAAGGGAACAGCTCATGGGGAAGGCAAATCCCACCCCAGGGCTAGAGATGATGCTCCAGTTGCCTGCCTGCTCCTTCTAGTGAGGCTGGACCAGCACTTGTGCTGGCACAAGTACCTTGGAAGAAGACAAAGGGTGAATTCCGGTAGCAAGAGAGAACACGACTTCTGAGAGTGCACCTTACCATAGGGACTGGATGTTGCAGTTGGGGTGCATCAGCCCTTCACACAGGAGCTCGACACCTGCATCTCCCAGCTTGTTCTCGCCTATGTGCAGTACTTTCAGGTGCTTGTTGGTGCTGAGAGCAGAGCTGACAGCCTTGCAGCAAGCAGTGGTGAGCCCACACTCCCTAACCCTGCAAGGAAAAAGTGACATGAGATCTAGGTGGGACACCTAGAGACTGTCAGGCACCATTTACTTCTTTACATTTACTTAACAGAAGCCCAGACAGTGGGAACAGAGGAACCAGAGCTTTCCTTCAATCACTGTACTCCTCTCAATGCCTGTCTGCTCAGTCCTTTACAGGCACCACCTCTCCCACCCTTTATGTGGGATGTGTCTTGGAGTGTGCACCTAGGAAAGGCACCTGCCCAAAAAGCACAGGAACAAAGTAGTAGTGTGCGGTGTAGTGTGCTGCTCTAACAGTCACTGTTGGCTCCACTGTGCACTCCTGGGGGCACCCCACTGACTTCCAGGCCACCAGGCAGGGGAAGAACCCAGCTGGGGGCAGGAGCTGAATCTGCAGTGGAGGAAAATTCAAGTTCTAAGTGAAAGAACAAATTTCCGCTCCCAGCCACCAGACCATCCCAGCCTAAAAGGTAACACAGTCAACATGACAGGATGCTAAGAAATGTTTAATGTCACTAGAGCTTTCTTTTGTTTCACCAGTGACAGAGTTTAGCTCCAGTGGAGAACCTGAGATATTTGATCACAGCACTCATTTTACTATTCCATCAGGCCTTTCAAACTTCAAAAGCCTCTTAACTGCCATTTGTTGCACAATAGAACAATTAATTAGAAACTCTGCAAGTGATGCTTGGTCTCCTTTTGCTTGTAACAGGATAACTGTGATGGGGCACATCTTCAAAGTGTCTACAAGTTTAGAAGTACAAATCTTTTTAAAGTCTTTAAGTCTAGAAAAGCCATTTTTAACTCTGTAAATCCTTTCAGTAACAACCAGCAGGAGTTGCTTATGGAACCATCGCAACTGAGGATCTATCTGTGTGGGCATTACTTCACTTACAACTTTCTTCTTTGAGGCCTCCAAAGAAGGCAATGGGTATGTCAAACTTGACAGCAGCTCACCATAGCTCCTGAAGTTTAGATTTCGGATCCTTGAGTGCCTGACAGAGCATTTCCATCCCTGAGTCTCTCAGGTTATTGTCTATCAGACTGATCTCTGTGAGGGTCTCCTTTGAACTGATGAGTCTGGAGAGATCTTTACAGCTAGCACTTGTGAGATCACAGTCCCATAACCTGCAGGGAAGAACAAAATACTATTTTCTCCCAAGAACGACTTAGATTAGAAAACCAAGTCCTAGTTTTTAGTATTCTGAATTTCTGGTTACATTGTCTCATTTTCTTGTATCCTTTCATACATCATATTACACAGCTTTCTCCTTTCCTTACTTTCCACCTGCTGCACCAAAAGCTCTGCTTGTAACACACACAAAAAAAGAAACAGAAATATGCAATTCTAGTAGACAGATAATTCAACTGGAAACCAAGACAATGCCATCACAAACTTCCATTCGCCCTCTTCCCAGAATTTGATCCAAGCAATTTCAGTGTGGCCCTACTTGTTCATGGTGTTTTCCACACAGTTTTTGGGAATTAACTGATTTGCAGCTGAGACACTTTTTTGACCTAAAGGGTAAATGAGAAACTTTCCACTTAGGAGCAAACCAACAGCACAACCTAAAGAGCTCAGAGGCTGCAGAAGGGATATGAGAAACCTCTGCCCACACTTACCACAGCTTCTGGATTTTACAGCTAGGATGCATCAGTCCCTGGCACAGCAGAGCCAGACCAGGGTCCCCAATCTTGTTGTCCCCCACAGAGAGATCCATCAGAGATGACTTGTTCCTGAGAACAGCACTAATCTCCATACAGCTATCGCTGGTTATGCCACAGTTCTCCAAGCTGCAGGAAAAAGCACAGTTGGAGTTGCTGCTCCAGACCCACTGTGTTAGATACACCCCATTAACCCAGTTCAGACTGAGAAGGGTCTATGGGCTGGTTCCTTGCTGCAAACCAGTGCAGCTCAGCCAGGCAGTGCTACATCCTGCAAGGTTCAGAGAAGATACAGGTGTCCAAGTGGGACTCTGGGTGAGGCAACACACTGCTCCTGCATTTCATGAGGTTGTAGGGCATTTTGACCCAGCCATTCATACGCATTAATGCAAGGATTGTTCTTGCCAAACTTCCCCTTTTTATCAGTCATCCTTTTTAAGAGGAACTTTGGCAGCATCACACAGTGAGTCCCCCAGCCAACCCCTGCTGAACCTCAGGGGCAAGATAAAATGAATCATGCTTTTCCCAGAAAGCCCTTCATGGGCTTTACCCCAGAAATGAGGCCAAATCCAGCACCTTTGTTTTGTAGCAAAAAAAAGGCTCTGAATAAGTATTCTCAATGGGCTGGTAATTCCAGTTTAAGAACTAGAACCACTGAGGGTGATTGCTCCTCTGCTCTGAGACACAGGTGAGCAGTCTCCCTTAGTAAGTGGTGGTTTAACCTGGAGCACCAAAAACTCCCAAACTGAAAGCCCCAGACATTTGTGTGAAGTTTCCAGTTACATAAATCTGAGCCAGCAAAAAATCTGTCCTACATTTGAAGCATTCCTGACAACAATTTTTCCTGTCCTATGGATGGTGTGACTAGCAGCAGCACTAGTTGCCATTAGAGATGAGCAGCTCTTCCTTACTGTAGTAGCTCTAGGTTGCAGCTTGCCTCCACCAGGCCCCGGCACAGCTGCTTTACAGCTGTATCTCCCAGCGTGTTGTTGCTCAGGCTGAGCTCTTTCAGGGTGGGCTTGCTTTGCAGAGCAGCATTGAGAGCTTCCACAATATCAGCTGTGAGTTCACAGTACTCCAGCCTGCAAGAAGAAAAGAAGTCCAGGCAAAAAGACAACCCTCCTCACACATCCTGCTACCACAAGAATCAGCTGAGCTTGGTGTGTTAGCCAGGGCAGAAAACACACCAATGTGAGTTGAGATCAGGCAATGCCTAAAACCAGAGATACACTGTAAGAGTTTTTAACAGCATCTCTCTGCTCATATCAGGAAGCATTAATTCTTAAACTAGATCCCAATGGACCTTAGCAAGACCAATTTTTACACTAGGCTTCCATTAAACCAGTGTACAGGCAGCTTGGAGCACAGGGCTGAGCTCTGCACTGCAACACCATCAGCTCTGGGCCTGACCGGGGGGAGCTGGGGGCTGCAAATACACCCAGGTCCTGCTCAGTCATGAAACAAGAAGCAAGGGCAGCAGAATCTGATGTTTCCTGGGCATCTGAGAGGTCCTGCATTCACAGCCACCACTGCCAGGAGGGCTAAACAAAGCCTGTGGGAACAGACACCTGACTTCCAAACCCACAAGACCCACCAGCATGAGTAAGCATGATAATTTCAGGTAAAACAAGAACAAATCCACACCTGGCAACGTAACTCCTACTTGTCTCAAGGAAAAGGCAGGCATGACCTGTGTGATAACCAAAAAAACCCAGTGACTACTTACTGCAGCTTCTGCAGCTTACAGCTGGGGTTCATCATCCCTTGGCACAGCACCTTCACTCCAGCAGTTCCCAGTCTGTTATCCCCTACGTGCAGCTCTGTCAGGGATGGCTGGGCACTGAGGACAGAGCGCAAGGTCTCACAGCTGGCACTTGTCAGATTGCAGTTTTGCAGCCTGCAGGAGAGAGGCAACAGGGGTGAGGGAAATGCACTCCTAGAATTACAGAGTCTCTTCTCAGAGAGATTTATCTGCCGAGGTTGAAGCTTGGAAAGGACACCACAGCTCTGATGATGCATAACCCTCTAGGAAGTGGTTTGTCCAGGTTAGTGCCATTATTTTACAGGTATGCCATAATATTTTATCAATAACACTCGTGCCACAAACAATAGTTCGCATGCTTCCTTCAATCCACTCCTTCCAATCACTCATACAGCATCTCCAGCAGAATAACAATTCACCCTACAGGTAGCCCCACAACTGGTTTACAGAAGTGGTTTAAATACCAGGAGGCTGACCCCATAGATAAAGCAAAGGCATCTTAAGATTTCTTGCCCCCTCTAGAAATGTGATACAGAGTAGGTAGAAGTTAAAATTTCATCCAACCATGGATATAATTTAGTTTAATAGTATAGTACAAGAAGGATCTATGAAGCTGATCCTTCAGCACTCAGGCTTGGAAAAGCAGCAATAGGAAGAGTGCTAGTACTGCTATGGGGTGTTTATAGAGCTATTGGATAAGACTTTGGCACAATGTCTTATCCAATAAGAGGTGTTGTTCAGGGAGGTTTGACTTGGGTTTGGTTGCTCTTTTATTTCCTCTTATTCCTCTTATTTATTCCTCTTTATATTCCTCTTCCTCTTATTTCCTTTTTATTTGGTTTCTCTTTTAAGGCACCTTACCAGAACACCAAAAATGGACAATTTTATTTCTACAGAAATGAAAAACCCTAATCCAGGTTGTTACTTGAGCATGTGGAGAAGTCTGAAGCCTAGGGCAAACTCTCTGAAAAATTGCTTAAGTCTTCCAGTACTTCCACAGTTACTTCTTGAAGGCCCATCAGAGAGTTACAGTTTCATCAGCTTCACAGTCAACTTTCTTTCTATTTGCTTGAGTCCTCATTGCAGGGGGCACAGGGACTTTAATATCTGATCTAAAAGACAAATTATTTTTACAAGGTAGGATCCTGTAAATCCAGAGTGAGGATCCCAGATTCCCCTCAGGAGCTGGAGGATTCCTGCAGCCTGCAGAAGAGATACTGGACAGAGAACCAGCATCTCTGTGGCCTTCTGAGGAGCAGATGCAGCAGTCACTGTCTCTGACTAAAGCTCCTGCACCTTTTAGTTGCTGAGGGAAGTCCACTAATGCTATAATGTGGTGGGGTCTCTATAAAATGCCTCTCAGAGCCAAGGAACTCTCCAGTTTGCTGCATTCTGAGGTTTGCTGAATGATGACAGACCCTGGGCTGGCACCCCCAGTCCACAAGGCTCAACCTCAAAGGCATCTGATGTGAGTCCTTCACTGAATTTGAGGGGAATTTTCCATAGGTGAGCACCTTGTACATACTCCTTTAGCTTTGTGTAGTTGTGAGTGGGAATATGCTATAACAAATGGACTGTGTCTATTGCTGTCCTAGATTGTTTAAGTACTGTTAAAATTTACAGGCCTAAAGTGTTGGTCCAGTCCAGGACTCAGTTTAGCAAAGATTCTAAACCTTGGTATTCAGAAGGACTATCTTCTTTATTCACCCTTTCCTGTCCTGACCCTTCCACTTCTCCCAGCCTCCATGTAGATAATTCTTCAGTTGACACTGGTTATTTACTTTAGATTTTTGTTTGTTTTTTCTCTATGTGCTTTAACCATCTAGTAAGTAGCAGAGTGAACCTTGTCAACAAACTGTTGTGCTTTCACTTTTATATTAAACCTGCCTCTGCCAGTGATGCTTTAAGAGACTTCAAAACACTAATTTGTGACAGCATGATAGAACAAGACAATCAGTGGGGGCTTTACCATAACTTCTGTAGGCTACAGCTTGGCGTCAGCAACCCTTTACACAGGTATTCAACACCTGCATCTCCCAGCTCATTGTTGTTCAGCTTCAGCTCTGTGAGGGATGGATTTGTATTGATGATGGAAGAGAGATCCTGGCAGTTACTGCTGGAGAGATTGCAATCATCCAACCTGAAAGACAAGGAGAGAGGAGCACATTAGTCCTCAGAGTTGCTCTGCTCTCCCTGGCAGGAGCACTGCTCATGAAGGTAGAGTGGGCAATATTCTTGCAGGTCCTGGGATGCCTTCATAAGTATGTGCAGGACCTGCTGGGTGTTGCATGGCCCAAACCAAGCCATGCTCTGGGATGCACCACAGGATGAGCTGGATGGCAGCTTCCCAAGCCTTGCTCCTCCTCTGTGCTGCACAGAAGACAGCACAAGTCATCCCCCTACAGCTGGAGGAAACACCTTCATTTAAACAGTGAGAGTGACAAACCACCTGCCAGCTCACAGGCTGTCTGACTGGTTCTGCACTGAGAACAGCCTAGCTGGAACTGCAGCCAGCCCCAAGTGACACTCATCAGCAGGTTGGTGTCTTGCAGGTGAGTCATGCTGGTTTGCACCATCTCCCTCCAGCAGGAATCTCAGTACACCAACCCTGAGTTTTCAGTTTGCAGCAGTTTCTCCCACTGGACATCAGCATTTTTCTAGGTGCTGCTAAATTTACAGGGATGAATTTAATTGAGAGGAGAGCCAAGGAAAGGATCAGGAGCACAGGACAGCCAGGGAGGTATAGAGGGCGGCAGAAAAGACACAGAGCAAAAGGAAGGCGTCATGAAGAACTGTACAGCCCCAGGCAAAGCCAGGATTGCCAGAAGCTGCCTAGTCATTTCTCCTTAGATAACAGTATGAAAACTGAAACTCTATGAAGATTCTCCTTCCCTCCCCTGGCAAGAAGACATGGCTTCCAGTGGGATCATGTTCAACACTGATGGAATAATCCCTGCAGCAGTCACCCTCATCCACTGCCTCTGGAGCAGCCCAGCCTCTGCCCAGGAGACAACCATCCCACTGCCTTCTGCCAACCAAGGCAGGCCTTGGGAAGTCAAGGCCAGGCCCATGCAGCTTTGCCTGTAAAGGCTCCTTTGCAAAGGAAAAGTTGCCCTCACCAGGTCCAAAGCCCTCTGAGGCACTGCTGGCATGAAGTGGCTCATCTTCTCCAGCCCCAGCAGGATGATGCCATCCCATGAAGTGTGAATTCCCAGCCAGGAGAGGGGAAAGATTGCAGTAGCAATTCTTCTGGGCCCTGTCCTACACCTTACACCCCAGGAGATGGTTCCTTCCCATCGTTCGCTCAACAATCAAGACTGGTACTTCTGAAGGTCAAGTGAAGAATTAAAATGGCACACGGCTTGTACCTGACTACTGATTGACAGCATCAAGCCTGCAACCCAAAGAGTGTGCAACCTAATAAGCAGTGCAATCCTAAAAAAACACAGGAATCCTGAAGATTCCTGTCTTCCCCCTCTTGAGAGACAAAGGCAGAATAACCAAAATGGTGGTCAAATATTTAAATCACATTACCTAGCTGAGCCCTATGGCACACCAAGAAACAGGGCAATATTACTTCATATCAAAGGATATTTTACCTGTAGTTGAAAAAGTTTTGCAAGAGGTGGGGGGTTTATCCCCCCCTTTAAATTAACTCTCTGGATACAAATAGGTAGACTCATTCCATGCAATTTCTAAGTCCCAGGTCAAACAGTTCTGAAGATGAAAAGCACAGGAGAGAAATGCAACAGTTCTTACTCAAAAGAGATGATACACAACTAGCTACTACCTGATGGTTTTGCAGGATTTCATTGTGGTCAGAAGTTCAGCCCATCTAGATGGGCTCATCTCTTCACACTGGATGTCAAGCTCCATTTTGACGGTTGAGATAAGACCTGAAAATTAAAACAAAATAAAACCACTCTTTTTTAAAATGGACTGAGAAGCAACAACGTTCCTCAGTCCCCCCAGCTCTCAGCCATCAGTCATACTGTGCAAAGGGAACAGATTATGATTTTCCAAAACCTGCAAACACCAGTATAAGGCCAGGAGAGTTGGAATGGTTTTGTCTGGGACTTGGGAAGGCCTTCTTCTGAGAGGAAAAAAGCACAGGAATCCTGAAGAGATATGGCAAAAGCCTGTTATCTCACACAAGGCTGCTTGTGTGAGAATAAGACTCTCCCCTTCCCCCTCCAAGAGAACTTAACCAGAAGGAGCTTTATAGGGGGTGTGGTGCTACTCACTATTGCACTGCTAAGCCACACAGACACAAAGTTCCACCAGCATGGCACACCTGACCCATTGTGGAACCTCAAGCTGTACTTAAACTTGGGGTATTTTTGAGATAATTTGGGTCAGTGATGAAGATGAGCATGAGAACTGCCTGGGCTCAAGTTAAAAATCCCGCTGCACATGTGTCTGTATGTGAGAAGTGGAACTTGTGAGGATGGGAGAAGTGGTCCTCCACACTTTGATATCCCAGGTTTAAAAGATCACTCTGGTTGGGCAAATCTAAGTACAGAGACGCTTGTAAGCACAATTTTTTTTGTTTTGTTTTTTTTTTTCTTGTGCAGTCAAACTGCATTTCTGAAGTGATGTAGCCACAGCACAGTGCAGAACGCTTCCAGATAAACATGCACAAAAGCATGCCAAGGGTAGTAGTTGAGCTCTAGGTTTAGTCTACAAAGGATAGGGTTAAAGGCAGCGCTGTAGTAGGTGACAAAACGCAGCCTTGGTCTCCTGGTTTGCCCAGCATGACTCAGACTGGCATTTGTAAAAGAAATAATCCCTGAGCTATCCCATCGGAATGTGAGCTGCAGTCAGCCACCGTCTCCCTCATCCCAGTCCGGAACATCGCCGGGACCCCAAACTCGCTTTTCGCAGAGGTCAGCTCGGTACCAGCGCTCCCTCAGCTCGCACCCACAATAAAGCCGGCACCCACGTGGGGAGGGCGGCGCTCGGGAAGCGCGGAGGGACCGGGACACGGCGCCAGCGGGATCCTGAGCTCACGGACGTGCTCGGCCTCTGCCCTTCCCCTCCCAACGCGAGCGCTGCCGGGAATCCCGGCCCACGGCCTCCGTGGGATGGCACCACAGCCCCACGTGCCGCGGGGTGATGGGGACCGCAGCCAGCGGCGACACGCGAGGGGACGGTGGCAGCCAGACTGTCACAGCCCGCCCCGCGTCGCTCGGGCAGTTTCCCGTCCGGATCGAGAAAGGGTTCTCCCCCCAGCCCCGAGTTCTGCACCCTCCTGCGAGCCGCGGGGGGATCCCGGGCAGCGGCCCGGTCCTATCCCGGGCACAGCCGCCACCGCTGCCGCCCCTGCCCCGTTCCCCCGCCCCGGTGCTCACCGCCCCGCCGCCTCCCGCACCGCCTCCCGCACCGCAGGCAGCGCTTCTCCTACCAGGCTTTCTTCCTTCCCTGCTCCCCCCGGCCCGGCCCGGCCCGGCTCCCCAGCTCCTACCGCCGCGCCGCCACCGCGCAGCTGCCGCCGGCTCCGGCCCGGCTCCGCCTCGTATCGCGGATGGGAGGAGCAGGATCTGTCCCTCCTCCCCTTTTTCCCTTTCTTCCCCTTTTCCTCTTTCTCTCCCTTTTTCTTCCTCTTCTCCCTCCGTTTTTCCCCTCTCTCCCTTTTTTCTTGCCCTCTCTGACACTTAGCGCCCTTTCCCCTCTCTTTCCCGCTTCTTGTCTTTCTCAATTTTTCCTGACTCCTCCCTGCTTCCCTTTCCCCCCTTTTCCGACTTTCTTTCCCCCTTTCCCCTTTTCCCTTCTTTCTTCCCCCCTCCACTCTGTTTTATTTCCTTCCTACCTCTTTCCTTCCTGTCTTTTTCCTCACTTTCTTCTTCTTTTTCCCTTTTCCCTTTCTACTTTACTCTCATGTGCTTTCCCCTTCCCTCTTTCTCTTTCCTCTACTTCCTCTAT